ATATCTAGAAAAGTGTAGCCTTCTGCCATTTTTATATAATATAATTCTGCAGAAGGCTACACTTTCAGATACTCATCTGGATCCTTTTCTTTTATGCTTTGCTGACCAAGTTCGCTATATGTCTTTTTTGCAACTACTAAAAAAAATTAATTAAATATTTCCGAATTTTATAAAGTAATATAAATATTTTCAAACTAACGGTATGCATACCTCAAATATTTCTGACCAAACTGATCATACTAGTACTGGCCCCTCGCCCACTACGGTGGCGCCAAGACTGATAGATATTTAAGTGACTCAAGCAGTTGTACTAATAATAGATCTGATTTAGGGTCAGATGATTATAACAACTACGAGTCTAATTATGAGTCGGATAATAAAGAAGCTCCTTGTGACTCAACCAGCATTACTGAGTCTCCATCAGTTTGGCTACCAAATTTAGAAGAGCAAAAGGCTAATGTGATATACACTTTAAGACAAGAAAAGTTTAATAATAATTTTTCTTTCAAGGACTTGCTAAATACTATTCGGGACCTTCTCTCATCACTATCTAGAGATATGTCGAATGACAAAGGATCATTGGATTGTCTTCCAATCTATTTATTTCTCTTTCCAAATGAAAAAGGCTCTAGCTTATATAACACTTATGACCGAAGTGAGATGAAAGATAAATTGGTTATCAAAATTAACCAAGATAGTGATCGTGCCCCGAAATTTTCCGTTGCCGATGACATTTTTGAAGTATACAGTTTACCCGGGATTTACGAATACATTGATGGTCAAAAACCTTTAAGAACTGTGATTGATATTGATGCTTCGCAAGAAGACATGAAAATAGCTGGTGTTGGATAGCAAGAAGTATTCATTCGAATCTGGTTTTCTTTTATAAGAGCTTTGTATTGAATTCTTGACTGTAGTTGAGAAGATGTTCTCAAAGGTTAGTAATTGCCACATCTTCGGATCCTAGCAAGTGTAGCTACCATATTTCATATGTGCCAGCTCTTCTTATCGATCATCACGAACTCAAAGCATTCACAGAATTAGTCTATACCTTAATTGGAGAAAAGTGTAGTAAGTTTATTGATCAGGATTACCTAGTCAAAATTTTAACTTTCGCCTTATTGGTTCGGCAAAGAAAGGTCGTGTGAAGCGTATCCTTCAGTTTTCACTAGATAATAGCTAGAATGAACTCGATCATGCCAGGGTTCAACCACCTTCTAATTTGGGTCTCGAAGTAAGACCCCGTATACTTAGTGTGGAAAAAAATAATAATCGACTAAAAATAACTGTGGGTCAGAATAAATTGCAAAAATTCGCAGAGATGGTTTTGCAGAAATATCCTATTTTAGGGATTGGATTATTGAAGAAAAAGATTTACAGAACTTCATATATTTCAACCGGAAAGCTCTATTAGAATATCCACTATGTAAACGTATACATAACAAGGATTAGCAGTGGTTTGGTCGTGTATGCATTAGTAATGGTACATTTATCGTAAAATGTTTTTAGCAAAATAGTAATGAACCTGGGGAGGTTTTTGAATGTAACCCATCTATTGCAGAAAAAATTCAGCAAGAAAATAAAAATCCACTACAGGTCTTTCGCAAAGTAAAAGGTCCAGGTTTCCCTAACGCCTTCATAAAAATGCCATCTTGGGTCAAGTATAATGAGACCTTTATAGCAACAGAAATATATGAGGAGAGGTATATAAGACCATTACTCAATGAAGACGATATTTATGTAAGGTCACCTTGGGAAACAGGAAAAACATATGTTCTTGAAAAATTCATTATTTCTGATAACATAAATTTGCTAGTATTATCTACACGTCACTCTTACTCGAATGCTGTTACTACAAGACTTAATCTTAAATCATATTGTGATATTGATGGTAATATAAATCTACCCGATCACAAGAGGGTAGTATGTCAGATAGAGAGTTTACACTATATTACTAATAATTGCAAATGTAGTAAAAAATGTAAATGCTTCCTAAGCCAATACGATTTATGGCTTGATGAAATAGTATCAATAATTGCTCAAGCACAAAGTCGCTTGGCGAAACAATCAATAGAAAAATTATATAAATTAATCCAAGAGGCTAGGCGTATTATTGTTATGGATAATGATCTAACGGACCTTAACATTGAATAGATTAAGGCCCTTCGCAAGGATATACCCTTCTCAATTATTCATAATACTTATTAGCCTCAGAAAGGTAAGACATTCCACCTGGCTCCTAATAAAGAAACTGTGCTAGCAGAGCTTTGGAATTGGGCCAAGCAGACGTCTTTATTACCTTTTGAAAATCGAACAAGTGCGTCACTTATTTGCCATCTTAGAAAAGATGTACAAGAGATCGTTTGCGCTCTTAAAACTGATTTTCCTGAATTATGAATTAAGGAATACCATGGCAAATCTGATCCAGTAGAAAAGATTCATGATTTTAGTAATGTCGAAGAAGCATAGAAAGATGTAGACCTAGTTGCCTATACTAGTACTCTAAAAATAGAAGTATCTTGCACTAATCCTAAGTTTAAGTGAGTATTCTGCATTTTTAACAGTTATATAGAAACAAATGCTGGGACAAATCAGATATTATTCCGTATGCAGTGTATTAAAGATTACATGTGTTGTATTGAGCAGAGATCGTCTAATATTCCCATCACAGAAAAGGGATTATTTCAATGGTTGTTAAGTGCTAAACGTAAATGTCTCCCGGGGAACTTTAGAATAGAGAAATATTCCCAGATATAGATTCTATTATCCAGAATAAGGATATATCAACTGTTCGATTATGGGTAGTATATATGTTAGAGAAATTCTATTCCTGGCATTTGTTTGGTTGGAGAATGGCCGATTTTCTTAGAGAGGCAGGTATGATAATTTCTATCATAGAACCTATTTCTAAATCTGATAAAAATATTATTTCATTGTCTCAAGTTGTGAAGACGAAATCCTCTATTATTAAAGCAGAGGAGATGACAGACATAGCTAATACTAATATTCTCGATCATGAGACTGCTAAATTTTTGGAAAATAAGCTGAAGAAGACTTTAGAAGAGATACGCTCCCTAGACCAGCACCACATTGCAGATTGTTATGAGATTTTACCTGAATTATTGACTGCGGATTTTATATTAAGGTATGGGAATTATAATCATATGAAATAGTTCAGAGCTTATAGACAGTTACGAGATGCTGGTACTAACAATGAAATGGCCGTTAAAGCTATTTCCCGTAAAGATTATAGAGAAAATAGGCTTACAACTGTAACCCAAGCTGAGAAGCATCGAATTTGTCTAGAATTATTAAGGATTTGTACGCTAGCTAGAGATATCGATGATAGAGCCAAATATAAATCTGATTATGTCAAGATATGTCTGAATTCTTCTGAATAATTATCATATCTTTATGATTTATTTCCCAAAATGGCTCAGGTATTTAATAATACAGATACATCGCACAGAGCTAAAAAATCGGGATTAAAAACAAATTGGGCAAAACTTGGTTTACTGAACTCAGCACTACATGCAACTTATGGGTTAAAATTTAAGGCTATAGATAGGAGTCGCAGGTATTACCATCTAGATAAATTATTTGATACTAAAGACGCTTCTAGATTACCTTCATATCAAACAGGTGAAGAAATTTATTGGAAAAATGGAAAAGATACTCAGTATGGGTATAGAGAGCTTTCACCTAACAAGATATTAATGTAAAAACATTATACTCTGGTGGGGTATATACTTTTGAGATGTAGCCTTCTGCCAATATTTTATATAATAATTCTGCAGAAGGCTACATATTTGAAATATATTTTTTTACTCCCCAGCAGTTAATTCAGAAGTTTTCCAGAATGGAGGACCTTGGCCCCATACTTTTGCCTCATTCGATAATTCATTGCATGAAACTTTGCAGAATATTTGGAACAATATTTGGAGCAATACCCCAAATCAGCATCAGTGGGAAATTCACAAACAAGGCATGGTCTTTTTTTCATATTTTTTTTATATAATTTCCAGTGCTTTGAACAACCAGTAGTACGAGTACAGACTTCTCCACAAATAGAACCATCTCTCTTGATATATCGGCAAGTAATACGATCTATATAAGTATTTTAGGATATAAAACCCTCTTCACTTTTAATTTTATAATAAAATGTGTATTTAAATTATTCGGTATTAAGTTAAATCATAAATGACATTTCATACTCACGTTATGGGCGTAGATATAACAGTACTTAATTTATTAACTGGTCGATGGATCGACCCAAATAGTAAATTGTTCCAGAAGTTGATCCGTGAAGGGTTCATATACACTGATAGGCTTTCAGATTATTTAGAGGATATTGGGGGTAGTAAATTTGAATTAGATCCCTTAACTGACTTTTACTACCCAGCCCTAATTCCACCTCTATCTATTTTAGTGAATAGATCGGATATTTGTAAAAAGTTCTCCATTAGTGTAGAATCTGCTATTGAGGGTGGGATGAGTTTATTTAGTCTAGAAAAAAATAAACGATCCTTGCTTCAAAACCTAATCAAAATAAAGTATTCTAGTAATAATTTATCTATGCTTATAGGAATAATTTGGGAGCATAAAGAGACAAAAGTTTGGAGAAAAGATATACTCACGAAATTCCTCTATCACCCGAATTTGTCCTCTTCGAAATATAGACCGGGTGCCTTATATGATGCATTCATCAAGGTAAATATTTTGGGGCCAGAACACATATTAACTCTGGCACGAATACTCTACTAAAATGTGATTACAATATAAATTTATTTATAGCTTTGGAATGAGGTTTTATAGTTATTCTTTTTTGGCTTATCATATATACCTGCAAAATTCAAATCGATGTAAATATCCTTTTGGCTAGAGCAGATGGTCCTATAGAGACCCGCGTAAGATATATTATTTTCGCATCTTTCGACCCTTTGTTAGGCTTTACTGATCATGAGTGGGTCCACACATAGTAAATTATCAGAATATTTTTTCGAATTGAACTTTTTCTCATCTAATATAATCTGACAAACAAAGATTAATCTAACTATCACTTATATTTTACATACCACATCAT